ACATTATCGTAGGCTCCTTTGATGTCGCTGAAGAGACATACCATATAATTATTTCTATTCATTGATAACCATAAATCTGTTATGAAGATGGCCAAGTTGTCATTTACGCCCATACCTCTCTAAATCCGAACTGGCTTTTAGGAAGTAGATCATTTTTCTCTACCCACCATTCCAGCCTTCTTTTAATTAATCGATCCTTAACTTTAGCTACACATGAAGCCAAAGATATAGGTCTATGATCCTATTTCATTCGGATTTTTTTGCGGTTTTTTAATAAATATCATTATATATTCGTTCCAATCTGGGATTAGCTCCGACTCCAACCAGAATTTATTGATTATATTGATAAAATTTAACTTTTCCAAAAAGGAAAGTTTTTTTATCATTGAGTAGTGAATTTGATCTCTACCAGGTGCTGTATCACTATTATTCCTGAGAATCGTATTGAGTTCCCATAGAGAAAACGGCTGTAATAAAATTTCACAGTTGCGCTGGATTGAATGATGACTCCTGTTATCAATATCATATTTAGCTCCTGCTGGCGAATAGAATTCAATGATTTTTTCAGCGACCTTCGGTGGTATATTTTCGTGCGTGGTTGACTCCGCCGTATTTTTAAACCTTTTAATCATCCCAAATACTTCTTTGCTGGAAGTACTTGGATTTATGTTGGAGACATAAGAGACCCAACTGTCCTTCTTTTTCTTCTTAAAGATTTTTCTAACAGTCAAATTCAAGTTCTGGCATATAACAAAATTTATATATGTTGAACTTTTCCGATACGTTTTTTCAGCGTGCCTTCGGTCTTTTACCAACTGATCACATTCCTCATCCCACCAGACAGGTTTATCCTTGCACCTTTAGAGATGTTTTGTTTCTTTGGAATACTTTTGTCAGCGGCATTGTTAATGATATTTATGAATCTAGCATAATCAGATTTGTCATTAATCGATTCAAATCCTAACATATCCTGTTCCATAGACACTTCATATTTGCGCCAATCAGCTTTTTTGCAATTCCATCCTGATACCGATCTGTATGGAACAACATAGTTCTTCAGTCTTAAAATTATTGCATAGTGGTCCGATCCAAGCGTGTCATCGGACACCTCCCAATCTATTCTATGAGCTAACTCCGGGGAGCAAACTGATATGTCACCGCTGTTAGATTATTTTTGAATCTCAAGGTTGGATTACCATTATTTAAAATAACTAAGTTATTCATATCGATAGCATCTATCAGGTTAGTACCATACTTGTCGTTGAAGTTGCAACCCCAAGACATGTGATGCGAATTAAAATCCCCGCATATTATAACTGGTTTGGGTAGATGAGTTAATAATTCGTTCCACTGTTGAATATTGATGTAATATTAGGAATCACATATATGGAAACTATATTTAAATTCGAATTATTTAATTGTACACTTATCCCACAAATTTGACATTTGTTTGGGTCAATGGTTCCTAGTTTGATTTGGATGGTATTATACGGTACGGAACGCTTAATAAATAAAGCCGCACCCCCTTTGCCATCATTTCTGTCTTGTCTTACCGTGCTATATCCTTGAGTGTATAATGTTTATAATTGTGAAACCACGTTTCTGATATCGCTAGTACAGAAATATCCATTTCGGACACGGTATGTTCAATATAACTTTGTTCGCAGTAAACGATCTCGCATTCCATTGTAAAATTGTGAAGTCCATAGTTATATATTAAATAAAAATATAAATAAATAAGTAAATAGATTCTTTTTTTCTATCACAATTATATTATTTTATCACTAGCTCCCATACTTTTAATGCTTATCAATTTACGTAATAATTCAGTCAACAGTTTGTCAAAATGTGGTTCGCTCGGATTGTATATATCTTAGTGACTAATAAAAAGATTCAAAAACTCCTTTGGTTCTGAGTGCTCGCCTTTATTACCATAATGAACGTCATTATCGGACTCCGATTCAGATTTATTTTTCAATCTTTCCTTTTATTAATTAAATTTTGATTCTGAGTCCCATTATGACTAGGTATTGATCAAATTTATACATGGTACTTCCCTCTTTTTTCTTCTTATTAATTGCAGCTGGCATGTGGATCTTCTGGGTTTCTTGAAAAGTTTTTGCTGTCATTTTCATAGTGAATATCCTCTTCTTCTAAATCTGATAATGCTATAAATCTATTATTAACAGAAGGTAAATTCGAGTCTTTCTTTGCTTTATTTATAGCTGGAAATTTTTTTCCTTACTTAAATGTTCATATTGTTTTTAGTTTTTCTAGCATATCTATCATTTTCTATAATCGATTTAGCTTCGTAAAATGAAAAATTTTGCAATGCCATTAATTCCTGAATATTA